AAATTAATTTGCATTTTAATGAGGGAAATAAGTATTTGACCCCCTCTCAATCAGAAAGATTTCTGGCTCCCAGGTGTCTTTTAAACAGGTAACGAGCTGAGATTAGGAGCACACTCTTAAAGGGAGTGCTCCTAATCTCAGCTTGTTACCTGTATAAAAGACACCTGTCCACAGAAGCAATCAATCAATCAGATTCCAAACTCTCCACCATGGCCAAGACCAAAGAGCTCTCCAAGGATGTCAGGGACAAGATTGTAGACCTACACAAGGGTGGAATGGGCTACAAGACCATTGCCAAGCAGCTTGGTGAGAAGGTGACAACAGTTGGTGCGATTATTCGCAAATGGAAGAAACACAAAATAACTGTCAATCTCCCTCGGCCTGGGGCTCCATGCAAGATCGCACCTCGTGGAGTTGCAATGATCATGAGAACGGTGAGGAATCAGCCCAGATCTACACAGGAGGATCTTGTCAATGATCTCAAGGCAGCTGGGACCATAGTCACCAAGAAAACAATTGGTAACACACTACGCCGTGAAGGACTGAAATCCTACAGCACCCGCAAGGTCCCCCTGCTCAAGAAAGCACATATACATGCCCGTCTGAAGTTTGCCAATGAAATCTGAATGATTCAGAGGACAACTGGGTGAAAGTGTTGTGGTCAGATGAGACCAAAATGGAGCTCTTTGGCATCAACTCAACTCGCCGTGTTTGGAGGAGGAGGAATGCTGCCTATGACCCCAAGAACACCATCCCCACCGTCAAACATGGAGGTGGAAACATTATACTTTGGGGGTGTTTTTCTGCTAAGGGGACAGGACAACTTCACCGCATCAAAGGGACGATGGACGGGGCCATGTACCATCAAATCTTGGGTGAGAACCTCCTTCTCTCAGCCAGGGCATTGAAAATGGGTCGTGGATGGGTATTCCAGCATGACAATGACACAAAACACACGGCCTAGGCAACAAAGGAGTGGCTCAAGAAGAAGCACATTAAGGTCCTGGAGTGGCCTAGCCAGTCTCCAGACCTTAATCCCATAAAAAAAAATCTGTGGAGGGAGCTGAAGGTTCGAGTTGCCAAACGTCAGCCTCGAAACCTTAATGACTTGGAGAAGATCTGCAAAGAGGAGTGGGACAAAATCCCTCCTGAGATGTGTGCAAACCTGGTGGCCAACTACAAGAAACGTCTGACCTCTGTGATTGCCAACAAGGGTTTTGCCACCAAGTACTAAGTCATGTTTTGCAGAGGGGTCAAATACTTATTTCCCTCATTAAAATGCAAATCAATTTATAACATTTTGACATGCGTTTTTCTGGATTTTGTTGTTGTTATTCTGTCTCTCATTGTTCAAATAAACGTACCATTAAAATTATAGACTGATCATTTCTTTGTCAGTGGGCAAACGTACAAAATCATCAGGGGATCAAATACTTTTTTCCCTCACTGTAGCTCAGTTGGGCATTACCTGGTAAAATACAATAAAAAATAATGTTGAATTCGTTTATTTATTTCTGCTTGTTTAGCAGTTTTTGCCAAACGACATTTTTGCGCAAACACAGCCGCGTCCCCACAACTGACAGCCATCATTTTGCTTCCTGCGTCGCGAAACATTCTTCTTACCCTCTCGTCTTTTCTAATTAATGTGACAGGTTCAATTTGGTGGTGCACATTGCTTTAACGCAGAAGTCACCCAATTAAAATAATTTTGGCTCCTCGTTTGCATCTCCAGATGGGATGTCCACCATTTTATTTTGTTGATTGTCTTAATAATATGTCATAAATGTCCTTAAAATGATATGACCTTACACACATTCACTTTGCATCCTCCCTGACTGCTTTGTTTAACAGTAGGCCCTAAAACGACATTTGTTCTTACATTATTGCATGGCTTTATCCGATCGCAAAGCCGCACGAGAAATCACAATCATCTCTAATAGCGCCGTAATTAATACATCATTCTATCACATTATCTTTAATCTTTTATCTGTAAATTGAAAATGATAAGCTAGTTGCACCGAGGTTTTTGCAAATCGCTACAAAGTTGAATGCTTGGCAAATAAACTGAGTGGTATTTTTCCCATGGTTGCCTTCAGAATGAACAAGTAAAGTGGACAACTATCAACGATCCCCAGGCACGTTTAAGGAGTGAAACAAACAATACACACATTTGGCTGGAGTATAAATCCATCCAGCCCATCAAAATTATATTATTCCCCCAAAAAAAGAATTATTGCATCAAAGTTATTTCGGAATTTTAATACTGTTCAATGGTTTAGACGAAGGTGTGCACGTGAATCTAAATGTGCTTGCATTAAAGCTCCAACTGAGATTAATTAGCAAAGCGCGGCACGTGACACATTCTAAAATCACGCATACACCTAAATGACGAATCGATTAATTGGATTAGTGTCATTTTAAGTGAACTTATTTTTTCACAAGGGAGATTCATAGAAGGAACGTGTGTGGTGTTGGAGAGATCTACTGGTAAAGCCCCTGTCGTTATCACTGTGAAGGTCTCTGTTATTCTTGAACACATTTCGATCTCAAATAGCGATCAAATTCAAAGGCATGGGCCCCTTTGGTGTGAACGTTTTGTAGAAACCATTAATAAATGTATTAACGGAGTACAATACGTATTATTTTGCATATAAACATGCAGCATAAGTGCACTGATGATCTTAATAATTATTTTAAGTAAAACATTTTTTTATCGACGATGTTCCTTCAAGACGTATTTTTGCAGGTAACAGTTATTTGGGACGACAGATTACAAGCTGAATTCTTGAAGCAAATCATCAGCAAGCTATAGTTGTATGATTGCAAAATTTGAAAGTCAAACATGCGCAAGAAAAATGTATAAGTAACAAATGAAATATCAATAATTTAACAATAATAAACTGTGTACCTGTTTGCAAGCTTCAATGATTACTAAATATGTACCAATGCAGTCACCTTTCAACTCAAATGCCCATTGAAAGTGTATTAGCCAACTATAATGGGTGGCTGACGAAAGATTTTCAGAAGATTGTATCAACACTTAGAGTAATAAAACATTAGTATCAAAATGCATGAGATTGACCAACTTCACATATTGCAACAAAGCCATTTGCACCTCCTAATAATAATAGTAAATTAACTAGCTCAATTCTCATGAGCTCTCCCCTGTGTCGTGTTATACCATGCGTCGTTGGGTTATACCGTCCATCGTTGGTTTATACCACGCGAAGTTGGGTTATACCACGTGTCATTGTTATACCACACGTTGTTGGGTTATACCTCGTGTCGTTGGGTTATACCACGTGTCGTTGGTTTATACCACGCGTCGTTGGGTTCTACCACGCATCGTTGGGTTCTACCACGCGTCGTTGGGTTATACCACGCGTCGTTGGGTTATACCACGTGTCGTTGGGTTATACCACACGTCGTTGGGTTATACCACGTGTCGTTGGGTTATACCACGAGTCGTTGGGTTATACCACGCGTCATTGGGTTATACCACGCGTCGTTGGGTTATACCGTGTGTCGTTGGGTTATACCGTGTGTCGTTGGGTTATACCACGCGTCGTTGGGTTATATCACACGTCATTGGGTTATACCACGCGTCATTGGGTTCTACCACGCGTCGTTGGGTTATACCACGCGTCGTTGGGTTATACCACGTGTCGTTGGGTTATACCACGCGTCGTTGGGTTATACCACGCGTCGTTGGGTTATACCGTGTGTCGTTGGGTTATACCACGAGTCGTTGGGTTATACCACGCGTCGTTGGGTTATACCACGCGTCGTTGGGTTATACCGTGTGTCGTTGGGTTATACCACGAGTCGTTGGGATATATCACGCGTCATTGGGTTATACCACGCGTCGTTGGGTTATACCACGCGTTGTTGGGTTATACCACGCGTCGTTGGGTTATACCACGCGTCGTTGGGTTATACCACCCGTCGTTGGGTTATATCACGCGTCATTGGGTTATACCACGCGTCGTTGGGTTATACCACGCGTCGTTGGGTTATACCACGCGTCGTTGGGTTATACCACGCGTCGTTGGGTTATACCACGCGTCGTTGGGTTATACCACGCGTCGTTGGGTTATATCACGCGTCGTTGGGTTATATCACGTGTCATTGGGTTATACCACGCGTCGTTGGGTTATACCACGCGTCGTTGGGTTATACCACGCGTCGTTGGGTTATACCACGTGTCGTTGGGTTATACCACGCGTCGTTGGGTTATACCACGCGTCATTGGGTTATACCACGCGTCGTTGGGTTATACCACGCGTCGTTGGGTTATACCACGTGTCGTTGGGTTATACCACGCGTCGTTGGGTTATACCACACGTCGTTGGGTTATACCACGCGTCGTTGGGTTATACCGCGCGTCGTTGGGGTATACAATTTCAAGAACGCAACACAAACGTATATCGATGTACGCCAGTAAGTATATAGCACTCAGCAGATCTGCATCAGGCCTCCATCTGCCATGTGGAAAATTACTCAATAGCCACACCAGCCACCTACTGGTCAGAATCTATATTGACCACCCGTGAACAAACACGTGTATTTTTGAAACTCACAAAAAGGTATGATTGACCGTGTCCATTTCTGTAGTTCGATAGATAGATCAGAGCTGATGATGATGATGATAGACAAGGGGGAGGAGTGGTGGTGCAGTGCTTAGAGCGTATTGCGCCCTGCACCCGGTGACCTGAGATTGATTCCCAACCACAAGTGATATCTGCAGTGAATGACTTTTTGAAGTGGTTCTGCCCTCCCTCCCCCCAATGTTCACGAATCTGCACTGACCAGCACGGTGAAGTATAGTCAAGCAATCACATGACGTAGGGAAGCCTGTAATTCAGCAGTGCATTGACAAAGAGCCGTAACTATTATTAATATTAACTCTATATATCAAACAGCATGTATTTTAACATACCATAATAACAACAACAAAATCATTGTAATGCTTTTTTTCCATGTACCAGCAGTAATCTTACCTTGGTTGTTTGTTGCGTAGCAGCCCTTTGGGCATTATCTCTTGAGAACCGCCGTCCTTCCAAAAAGATTACCACTCCATGGCCTGCGCACAGCAAACCACGGAATAAGTTTCCCCCTTATAGCCAGTGGAATGGAATTGGCCCCTACCATCACAAAACTCCAAAACAAGGCTGCGTATTACAATCAACCAGAAACCCAAAGAGATTGCATTAGTCCTGCGCTTGCGACCCCAGTTTGTACGATGAAAACAAAACGTGGACGTTGTTGAAGCCAGTCTCGGCACAATCCACGGCATCGCGACTGCTTAAACGTGGGTGCATGTGATGCTTTTTTTTCGTCGTAATCTCGGGACACTTGATGAAAGCACACGAGTGTGCTAAATGCGAATGCCAGACTACAGCAGGGGGGCTTGTTGCTTTGCAACACCCATCCCCGAACGCTGGGGCGAGCGAGGAATAAAAGGTGTCGGGAGAAAGCGGTATCTGTTTCTTTTCCAATTCAGCGTGTAACTAATTGTATAACGTGCAGTTTTCTGATGTCTTTACTTTCAAGGCGATGTGTTTGAAAAGGGCACGGTTATGTGCACACTGATGTGTTTATTATTATTATGCTTGTTCACCCAGGAAAGCTTCACCGAGTCGCATGTCTTTGTTTGAAGACGGCCCTGCCATGCTTACAGTCGGTGGGTGATGATTCCTAAGCATAATAATCCTAAATTAGTCATTTACGGGTGACTTCTAGAATTTGGTAAATCCGGACCGTGACGCCTACTCTTGAGAATGTTGTCACGGGATCCGTAATAACGACTGCGAAGCGGTTAGTACACCGGCAGTAATAACCAGGGTGGCGGCTGGATTTGAACCAATAATCTTTGCAACGAGCCGAGAGAACACGTCATTACACATACACATTGCGCAGATGCGTACCAACTACAAATAAAAAAAGACCCACAATATAGCCTTTAACCGACTGTTGGGGCACGCATTGTTCGCGAGCAGCTATGATGCCTGTCAAAGCACACGGAGGGGCGGTATGACCAGCACCGTCCCCTGCTGCCTTTGTCTCCCCAGTGCAATATGTTTACACACCGTATTAGGTACTCGAACTTGGGGAGACCAAGACCGATTCTGATGTCACTCATGACTAATTTTAAGACGTGGTTGGAAATCTAACTCGGAGAAACTGGGAACGCAACGCGGGGTGTGCGAACCACTCCTACCACCGCTCCACACATCCAAACCAACAACAACAACAACCGCCATTCGCCACTAAGTGGCGGTGACGTCACCACAAACATGCGCACGTGCGTATGCACAAGCACGCGCACAATGTGCGCTCCCTCCTTCAGTATAACAAATATCTGCACTAACGTGTGGATTAATGCTCACCTACGGAAATATTTGCAGCAGGCGGTGACAACCTGCAGAGACCATTAGTGCAGCTGAGTAGTGAATTGCACTGAATACCAATACATTCACATTAACTTTTATATTATCCGCAGCAGACGCAGGGATATTATAGGAGCAGGAGGGTGCGGGCTCAAGGAAATAACTTAACCTCTTCACAATGGGGTCCAGACAGGGAAAGACAAAAGTTAAACAAGGATCATGCACGTCTACGACAACTGATTTAAGGTGAATAGCCATGCTGGTGCTCCCTTCACATAACCTAAACAGTAAGTAATGTTTGAGCATTGGTCAGTGCTCTTTTTAATTGGCGGAACTGAGTTATTATTGGGGGGGGGGGGGGATATCCACATTCATATGACAAGGGTCCAGTTTATCCATAAGGCAACCACTGTCGGTGCAAAAAAAAGTGGTACTAATTTGTATTTTTTATCAAATAGAAGGATGGTCTGGATATATGGATGGACTGATGGGTTAAATGACACACTGTCATCGTTGATGTTTTTAAATGGGTTATCCAATACTCTCTCAAGTGTTCTTCCCAAGTGCAGGTCCATGGCTCAAGCTCCCTCCATCTGATCCCATTCCCTCTGTATTCACATCCCTACACTGCATTCCGTCCCGGGGTTCTTGAGACAAAACTAGAGACGGAGAGTTGGCGTGGCTTCCCCTTACGTTCATCAAACAGTGTGTTTTAGGCAATGGCGTGGTCAGGTGGGGCCCCGATATTGTATTTGTCTCGCACGGTCGCACCTAAGCTATTATATATCACGGCTCTTCTTGCCTAATCACATCATTACATAAAGTTTTGTTCTTTAACACTGTTGTTGAAAACATGTCTCATGGCGGTTGTCAAGGTGGGCCCCAACTCGTAGCTTTGGCCACCAGGACGGGCCAAGGCACCCCCTTGCCCCCACGCTAGTTACGATCGTTACACTAGTTACACTAGTTACGCGACTGGTTTTGGGTGACACCATCGCTGGGTGCAGTATAACGTCACGCAATAATATCCGAACTTAAATGTGCATTTGGAGGCGCTTATCTCTACTGAACGCCCGCGCCTGTGGTGGAAATTCCACATTCATATGGCAAGGGTCGATATTTAAATATGGCCACCAACTACCGACATCCTGCAAGGTGGTAGAAATTTTATTGACCTCAGGTGGATATGATGGACCGTGTTAATCCTTACCCAAAATGAGTTTGCCATGGTAATATTTCTAAAACCAGCTTTTCTTTTTTAACTGAACCCATAACAGCCACAACGGAGGACACGTACACCTGCAATTAAGATCGACATGTCTGGGTAGGATTTTCTACCTAAACAGGAGCTTGTTAAGGTGTGCAAGGTTCATTTTATAACCAATATGGCGATGGGGGGGGGGGGGGTTTAAACAACCTGCTTTTAAATTTGCATCAATGTCCACGCATTTGTTCAAAAGTTTACGTGAGCGGCAAAGGCGCGTAAATAATAAATGAGATCATTTGAGTTTTGCGGAAAAAGACGTTTTTTTGAAAATAACACTGAGAAACATGTTTTGGTGGAGTTCCCTAGAGAAAACGGAGGTTAGGGTGTACAATTACAACATCGCATGCAAAAAAAAAGCAAGCGTTTTATTTGTCACCGTGACTTACGGAACAATGTTTTCACAAATTGGGCAATATCTGCTTTTTCGAAGAGCTCTGAAACAATTATGCTGTCGTGTGGGTATTTTGGTCATCAACAATAACACGATGAAAAACAGCCCCAACATGTTGGGGCTTTTTGTTGTTGTTAACAAGCTCGCACAAGACTTCCTCGTAGTACGATGAGTCCTTGTGTATGGTCACAAATGGGTCGGTTTTTTCAGCCACGGCTGTTGCAATGAGTTACAGTGTTGCTTTTCAAACCTTTGCTAAAAATTCCACCCATTTTGTATACCTACACACACGCGCGCAAACCAATATTCAGTAACCTTACATGGTTGAATGTGGAAATCATCATTATTGTATGCTGAAAGGTTGTTTTTTTGTACACGAAACATTTGTTATTTTACACAATTGTATGCCGATTGTGCTATTGAGAGATGTAGTATCCATTCAGATCCCCCACAGAGGAGTGCATCCCTCGTGTGTTTTTAGCGAACGACCCACTGAAGTGGATATCAGAGGTCAATATGAGATCCCTTCAAATGACCTCTGGTGTGCACAGTAGAAAGCAGCACGTTCCCACCCAGTAATGTCTTGTCACATGGCAGCAAAACTGATTTTTCAATTCTTAGAGCTGGAATTTGTCCAAATGTAAGTGCAGAACTCAATTTAATATGAATAGCTGTTTTTTTTTTCCTGTAGTCATTGGTGACCAGGCTGAGAACATCAATAGACGACACTTGAGATAATCCGGTGCAAATGTAGACATCTTCCCGATGCCAACTCAGCGCTCTGACCTCAGAGCCTACCGGCTACCTCTTCTGCATAATTATTTTTTTAAATTATATTATAATTTGTAGACGGATAACAAATATTTTGAGGCAAATAAGTAACAAAAAAATTGATATTGAAAGCCGTTTTGTGATGTTTATTCAGAGCTTTGCCGCACGCCGATGTCTAGCTCTCTCTTGTACGTAGTTGATTTCATAACACAATATAAATCCTTTGCCCTATGCAATGATAAAATACAATTGAGATATCATGAGAGATTAAAGACCACGTACACAATCACATACATGAAAAGAGGCTGGGTGGCTCATGGAGGCTAATATTGGGTCAGATCGGGTCACTAAGCCAGTGCTTCTGAGAACATAGGTTCAAATCTGGGTTTTGGCCACCTGTGATTAATCCAGGCTCTTCACTGTAGAGGGCTGATAGCTTCAGCTTGGTCACCAATGACTGCACAACATCTGTGAGGTGAAATGTTGTTAAACGTGTATAATTATTTATCTCCCGGCTGCTGAGAAGTCAATGTTTTTTTTTCTTTTGTAGGGTATATGAAAGGTGTGCCCCTTCGTGTGGATAGAGATGTCTACACGAGGGATTTCAGACGTCATTCTACGACATGGGAATGGCTTTTAGTATTTAGTGTTGTTGTCCTTCCCCCGCACCTCCAATCAGCACGGTTGGCGACATACGGTGTGAAAGAAGTTGAACATACATACACGATCTCTCAGGATTATTCACTTACACGAGCGATGGTGGTGCAAGATTTCCCAATTGTGCTCTCCTCGTGCTCTTGAGCGATGCCGATAACAAAATTGGAACATAATTGTTAAGGGGCGGGGGGGGGGGATACATACCTGTCAAACCATACGGTTTACCCGTATTCTTGTAAGGGAATTTTTATTTGCAAGTCCATACAGTGTACAGCCGTTTCAATACGGGGGGAAAAAATTGTCTTTTTGTTTGTGTTTCTCCCTTGTGATGGGACTTTGTAAGGATGAACGTTGAGATTTATATAAGGGGCACGGCGTGACCAATAAGGTCTGAATTGGTCTGTAATAAGGTAGGCACTGATAAGGGGTTGACAGATATGGAAATAATTCATAAACAAACTTAAAGTGTATCTGTCACATTTACAATTCAGAGGCCAGGAAAGGAAAAGTGTTGACTTCCTCAACAAGTCGTAGAAAGTGGTACTAATGTCACCAACCATGGAGTAATAATGGTTCGGATTCTATGCAGGATAAAGATTTGAACGTGCAACTTCCCAACAGTGAGCCCGGAGGTTCGCAAAGACATACCAAATGTTCTGAAGGGGGTCATAATAGGGTGGGTCACAAATTCCAACAAAAATTTACAATGGTCAGCCCTTTGCCAATGCCACTGCTGGATGATGACCTCCCCACGCCATGCAATGTATGTTTGGTGGTCGGGCGGCTGGGATGGGGGCGAGATTGTTATTGTCCGACAATATTGTTTTTATCACGCTGGTTCAACTGCGAGTTAGCGCAACGTGAAACACAATCCGACTGGTACAGTGATGCTACATTGTTGTTGTTGTTGTTTGGGACACTGCTGATGGCGGGCGACGCGTGTAATGAATAGCGAGTGTGGCTGTGCGGCCCGGTGAATAGCTACAAACCCGCGCTTTTGGGTCAACAGCAGCAGTAGCAGCAGCAGCAGCAGGAGCAACAACGACAGCAGCAGCAGCAGGAGCAACAGCAGCAGCAAGAGCAGCAGGAGCAACAACGACAGCAGCAGCAGGAGCAACAGCAGGAGCAGCAGGAGCAGCAGGGGCAGCAGCAGCAGACCCACGCGGTGCCAGGGCACTGCCACAGACATGGCGACATGGCCGCCTCTTGCCTCGCGGTCGCCATGGCAACGAGATGGGGAACCGATGCGACGCGGCCATTAAAAACATAAAACATTACAAACATTATAAAACATTATAAACATTATAAAACATTATAAACGAACCGCGCAATGCGAGGGCCGGACAATTAATATGGGGGGGGGGGGGGGGGTGGGGGCTCTGGCGATGTGTTTGAACGTGAACGTTGTGTACCGTCGCGCGCGCGAATTGGTAAATAAGCAACTAAACACGCGCGCACGGGAGCGATGTGGACATCGGTGCTGCGCGAACTGGCTAAAGTTCGCCGCGTTCCTGAGGTCAAAACTCATGGCAGTCGTAGCCCGAGTAGGGGAACATGCCACCGGAGCTCGTCCACACCGCGGGAATCAGCTCGCGTGCAGGAGCTGGTCGGATTGTGGCATCCCGAGCCATGGGAAGGTGGCGATGGGCCGTGGGGAGGCCCTCGTCCAGGAGCGAGCAGACTAGGTAACGGCTGGTGATGATGATGGTGATGATGATAATTACGGCCAAAATTTCACAAGCATACAAATAATCTGCACAACGTGTACACAATCATGCGGCATGTACATTTAGTGGTGACGCGCATAACAATGACTTTCCGAATTCCACGCGAAATTAATTGTCGTGCTTATAGACATTTTTTAAAAGATGTTATTTCTTTAGTCTCATTCACCCCAAACACAAAAATATAAATTATAATCTACAGTACAGTACATTATCAAGCCACTTTTGAAGGCATCCGACACGCCTCTCGATCGTGGATGTTGTTTGGCCATACTTCACCCCGCTGGTCATTGCATGCTGGTAAAGGGTGGTTCCCAGGATTCGTTCGGACATCACTCATCAACTGATGTCAGCTCTGGCCTGGAATTAAACTCGCAAGTGGATGAACCACTGCCACCACTCCATACCAATGTAATAATTATAATAATGAGGTTGTAAGTATTTGTCCTGGTCTTAAATGGAAAACATACCATTTTAAATATTTCTTAACTTTTTTCCATCATTCGTATTCATTGTCATCATTTTTTTTTATTTGCCCTACCAATTTATAATTCAAGAAAAAAATGTGGCTTATTAGAGTGTGAACGCTCACTGTAAACACCAGTGATCGTTGTTGTCCACAACTGAAATCAGACGATTTGAAGGAAGGGTTGGTGGATCAAGCAGAGATCACCATTGTACACGGGACACCCACCTACCTGTACGTCAATGAGATGGGCAGCATAAAGCAGTCCAGCAAGTATGTTACTTACCTATAAGTGCACAGCTTGACCATTCTTCTTTCATACTTATGGGTTTTCTCTACAGACTGAAAAAAAAACATGCCCAAAGATTCTACACAAGGCTCGTTTGGAAAATAGTTTTGAGGCAAAGTGACAATTTAATCGATAAACATGGCATTACATCTATTGCTATTCTTCGTATTGCTGCGCTCCAGTGAAAAAAAAATGCATGCAAACGTACTGTGGACGCAGACCGCGTATGATGTGTGCATGCACATGCACGATGAGAATATGTACAAAAACCGCCCAGTGTCCAGATATGGAACACTGTGTACACTTTAAGAATTCAGTTTGAATAGGATGAAAAAACGTATTCAGCATTGAGGCTTTTCGTTGTTGTCCCTCACGAACACAAGCACAGTGCCTCACATACTCCCCTTAACTCCCAACACAATCTTTCTCTTCACCACCATTCACTCTTCCTCTCTCTCTCTCTCAATCACTCGCCCCCCCCTCTCACCAGCCCCCCACCCCATCTCTTTCTGTCTCCTTATTTTTTGTTATATTTATTTCTTTAATTATTCCTCAATCTCCCATTCCGCTCGTGTCTCTCTCTCTGTCACTTCAACCACCACCGCCACTGCTGCCACTTTCTCAGGCCCGTAATGCCCCCCCCCCCATTCCTGGAGACACGGGGGCGCTTATGAATGGCCGAGACACAAGGGGGGAGTTGCGGGCGCTTTGACCCAGCCAAGTTTGGCCCTGGATTTTCCTGGAACTGGGCACCACCAACCATCGCCACCACTCCTGCATGCAAATGCGGCTGAGGAGGGGAACGCTTCCTTCGCTTAGACCCGCGCGCTCGCTCGCTCGCTCCGAACGAGCGACGCGCGTCTTGCACCGCACCCCCACCCCCACCAAATGCGTTTTTTTTCTTCCGTTTGTACGTATGTCTGTCTGTACGTGGAACTTCTTTCCCACCGCACGTAGCCAACAGTGCTAATCGGAGGTGTGTTCCAATGCTGCCCCGATAACAGCAGTGCATGCGGTGGTGGCGCTTGGCGAAAGCCTGCGACTCAGCAAAAGCTCCGAGCCCCAAGCAGCTCAAGGAGAGACAGATTAGTAAAAAAAAAATCTTGAGTTTACACCCTGGGTTTAATTTCACATGGAATGACCTCTCCGTGAATCTCGACATCTATGTGTCTATCTCTCTCTACACTTGGCTGTCTGCCTGTGCTTCTGCATATATATTTAACCATATATGTTATAAAGATATACATTGCCACTAGGGAGACAAAGGCGCTCGTGCTTGGTTCTGGCCACTCGCCCCCTCGTGTACTGTGTCGGCTTTCATAGTTGCTCGCTAACAGGACTTGTCCCAACAGTCTGTTTAAGGGATCTTTGTCTTATATTTAACCGTGTGTATGTCTGGATATGCACCTGCTTATCTGTACATTTATATATCTGTATACCCATCTACCTATGTTAAATACTACGTATATATATACGCACACATGTATAACTGTCCAGCTATCTGTCCATCTATGTTGTTTACTAAAAACCATCCGTCTATCTATTGGTGTTGGTGTGTGTCAAGTCCATCCCTCTGTTCGTCTGCCCATCTACATAGGCTGCATGTGTAAATAATGCATTGTCAAAACGAGAGAAGACAGGTCTCCCTCGCGGATGATTATATGCAGCGAACTACAGGACGTACGCTCTATAATCTGTAAGGTGGAGCACCACATGCCAATTATCCGTTTTTCAATCCGCCACGCGTAAGGACCTCATACCCATACGGGCCCAGCGTTGGGCTGGCCAGAGCGTGGCTGATTGACATAAGACCTTTAAAGCAATCCCGTGACAGTGCAAGTCTGTCCCGTTTTTTAAAAATAATAATAATGCCCAAATTGTTTAAGGGGGTTCTCAATAGATCGCAGGTAGAGGAAGGCAACCGGGCGGACGGGCGATCTAGCGAGCAATCGAGCGCCCACATGACAGGTCTTTTTATTTTTGGGGGGGAGGAGGAGAGGGGGTTGGTGGTGGTGGTGGTGGGGAACGGGGCCGGGTAAGGACGCAATCTGACCTTCTGACCATGTCGAGTGCCATTTCTGGAAATGTTGTCGTGATGGCCCGTACGGTTTTTTTGCTTTGCGGGGGCATCGTCAAACGAGGCGGGACGGGACAGGCGCTCTTCCTCGGTGGCCCATCGCGATTGGGATCATTTAAATTATCGATTTTAATTCATCGACTGCACGCTGTTGCTTTAGTTCTGAAATCACAATAACTCATAACTGTCTCTAGTTCAAACGTTACACACGCACACTTTTACGTATATATTGCGTGGTTTTGATTCACGCTGTGTTATTGAAAAAATAAATATGCGCATATATATTTGTTTTGATTACAGGCCTTTGTCATTCCACTGTTGGATGAAGGCCTCCCCACACCGGTTCGGTTATAGGGGTTGTTTGCTCGTACTTTGTGTGTGTATGTACGTTGGACTTCTTTCGCACCGTACGTAGCCAACCGTGCTAATCAGAGGTGTGGGGACAAATTCAGTTATCACTTGCCACTGATGTTAGCCGTAGCCGGGGATCGAACTCAGGCCACCAGGTTCATGGCATAGTACACCTCGACTCCACCCCACGTGGAGATACACCGAAACGATGAATAATGTGATTAGGCATTGAAATTTGACACCGTCCCAATGCTAAATAAATAATAAAAACCATAGTTCTTGACCTGTCCACGTTATGCAAATAACTGATGATAAATAAGAACATTTCAGTAATATTGTTTTTTCAACTAAATTGCTGCATGATGTTCAATTAGTTTGATGGTTTTTTTTACTCAACAAATGAACTCACCACTGCGTCTTGTTTAATGTCGGTTTGAAACTGACTGGGTGACTAAACCGTGGTTGATGCGTGGAAGCTCTGCTGGTCACGCCGACTAACGTTCGCTCCCGTTTTCCCCACTCGTGTCTATTGTCCCACTCATTCGCCACCATAATTGAATTCATCCTAATCAGCATCGTTGACATCATCAGCGTCATCGTCGTAGGCCATGGTCTGATCCACTGCTGGATGGTCTCCCAAGTCGTCGCCATCCGTCGTGGGCTGATGCTCACCAGCTGATCTCATCGGTCCTTCTTTCGGTGAACGTGCTGGTCGAGTGTCTTCTGTCCTTCGGCTGCCAACCCGCCGTTAGTGTGGACCACATAAACACGTAAACTGCAATCGTCATCGAAACATTTTTCTTGCATTCGTATGTAGTGAAATGCAACCATGCATTTTTTGTTATAATCTAATTATTATATGAGCAATAATACACTACTGAAACAAACATTTGCTTGATGAAGGCCTCCCAATGGCGTGTTGGTCGTGTAGGTTATTTGCTGGTCATATTGAATTTAAGCTTGATAATATGCACGACTGGAATCGAGTTCAGATCAGCTGGTGCATAACATAGTGTATTAAGCACTGCGCCGCTGATTCACCCGCGTCCCATGGCATAGAAACGTGGAATTTCCACCACTGGTAAAGGACCAACAGTGATGACAAGTACTGCCCCACGCTAAGATTCCGCACATCTGATTAGCACGGCTGGTTACTTACGATGATGAAGAAGTTCAACAACATACATATTTATTATGGCGACAATTTTGACTTCCTTACAAATATAAATACGATATTTTGCAGCTTTCTATTAACATACACGACATATTTAATCAAATAAGACATAATTCTTGCTATGAAATCTGCCAGTTTTCACGTGCTGAGCGATCACACGGTTACCTGCGGAATAATTAGCGAAAGCTCATGGGCGAATGATCACCGCAAGCTGCATAGGCATCAGTCTCCAACAAATTCTGCATGAGTTGATGGAAGGGACGATGCTTTTTTTATGCTCGGACCATACGATCAGGCTTAACAACAATGCAATTCTGCCTTTACATGGGCCGCAGATAAACAGAAAGATAACCCTAATCTTGTACATACAATATTGGCTTTCACAAAGTACAATGACACAAATATTTGTTTAGGCAGCTGGCACGGTTTACATTGCCAGTATGTTTATGTATTAGTTAATTTGATTTTGTAAAAAAAAATGCGAACAGACGGGACTACCCGCTGGTGATTTTCACAATTGGGGAAAACATTCATGGGCACACACTGACCTTCCCTTGTCAATTAACGCATGGCTCTCCGTCGCCGAAGATGATGTACCGTCCCAACAGCGAGAAGACATGAGACTTCAGTTGCCAAAATGTTTACCATGTTTACACTCGGCTTATGCACGCTAACCACTAGGCCATTGCACCACAAATGCAATCAACGGTGGTTCTCTTATGGACAGACAGATCCCCCGCCGCAGGAATGTGGATTTTTCAACACTGGCTCAGTGCCACCGATGGAGATGAGCACCACCCAATGCTCATTTAAGTACTGGGTGCTTTTATTTAAACTCTGATAAGCAATACAAATACCAATCTAAAAAGAGGTGGAGCGAAACGTCGGCGCAACTGTGAAAACACAACGCAGATGGACCACATTCAAACATACATACTTCGAGTGGTTAGTCTCAGCAAGCATCTGCTCAGTGAAGGCGACTGACGACAACACATGGGGGATAGCCAGTGCTGATGTTGCCACGGCACAGGGTTACTCATGCTAGGTTGAGTTGACAATCGGTGGCCCACAAATTCAAGGATCACATTCCAATTGCAACCTGGGTGGCAGGGATGGTGAAAGCGCAGTGCGCCAACCGCTCTGCCACCGCTCGTCAGACACGCAAAGACAAAGATCACCCGGATAGCCTTAACAGACTGTTGGGGCAAGTGCTGTTAGCGAGCGCCCATGGAGGCCAGCACGATACACGAGGGAGTGGGGTGGCCAGGGCCACGCCCAGACGCCTTTGTCTCCCCAGCGGCGGATGTATACACACCGCACCAGATACCCATTTGAGGTTGAGTCGACCTAGGGGAGGCCCAGGACCGGTTCAGATAATGGTCGTGAGCGGGAAAGCAACAGGGTTTTGCTGCGGTTCGTAGCTTAGAGCGCTAACCGCGACACTAATGCTCGCCAGAAACACACATCACCACACACACGCACACATTCTCTCTCTCTCTCTAATATGCACTGCGAAGTGTGATGTCAGCACAACGTGCTGTGTCAGGCTGCAAGCACCGCATGCCCACAATCGAGAAGAATACGGAGCAAAGCGTCGTTGGAGGAACTGACACTCGTCCCACCAATACCACCACAAGCACCACCAAAGATCCCCCGTGTAGCCTTTAACATACTTTTGGGGAAAGTGGTGCTAGCGAGTAGCACCTATGATGGCCGGAACGGCACACGAGGGAGAGGGTGGCCAGCACTACGCCGGACCGCCTTTGTCTCCCCAATGGCGATGTTTACACACAGTACCAGGTACTCATTTGAAGCAGAG